AGACGCCAACCACGCAGAACGCGAAGACGCACATCCTGCAGTTCCCTGTAAGTCGTCTTCCCCGCGATTCCTTGCACGGCGCTGATCTGTCCAATGCACACAGCCTCTGAAGACGGTCTGGGACGACGGCTTCTACGACGACACCGACATAAAGAACATGTGCGCGATAAGCATCGCCCTGCGCAAGAAGGCGGGGAGTGCGCGCGCGTCATTCGTCGTGCAGACGCCGTTCGGCACGCCGATCTGCGTGGAGACGTTCACGCAGGGGACCGGGAGCTGCTTCCCGGTCGGGACGGATAAGCCGAAGCAGGGGCTTGGGCAGCAGTGTGGGCAGGGACAGGATTGAGTTCGTGTTGCATCGTGTATACATTGCTTTATGCATCATGGGTCGAAACGAAGTTGTACAATATCATGCATGACAGTCAGCATGTCTGAGTTCGGGACACGGTACTAGCTACTTACGGTCACAGATGATAGACAAGGGTGCGCCCCCAAGGGCTTGACGAACTTCTTGTAACGATACCTGTAATCAGGGAGGATGTCAGGCTCCTAAACCATCCGTCCTTAGCGTTCTCGCTCTGGGGATGGGCAAGTGTTGACTCGCGCCCGTATGTTTGTACATGTTTGTACCCAAGGCCAAAACACTTTTTGTGTTGACCAGAAAAAGGCGTTCAATGTAGATTGTTCCATGTCACGTTTTCTCACAAGAATTTGGTGCCAAATTCTTTCTAAGATGAATCTCTACCGAAGTAGCAGAAAGGCACAGGAATATATCAGGGACACACCTCTGCAGGGGCAGATTTTGGCAGCCATGCATAGTATATCTGGCTTCTACTGGTGTTCTTTTCTGCTAGTTCACTATATATATGAGAAAGGAATAACCTTTATTCATTGAGTTTGGCACAAAAGGTGTGTTTGACGCTGTAAATGTGATCTCCTTCCCGTCACGCGTCGGCCCAAAACCATAGGACGCGCGCTGTGACCAAATGTGACAACGTGACAGACAGAGCACGCTCACTCAATGCAATCCTCCCAATAAATTATGGGACGCATATCACGTGCGCTGCGCGGGCCGGTGATAGCCGGTTTCTGCAAGGGTAGTTGGGCGACATATATGCGTTGTTACTTGTGCCTGTGTTGAGTTCGTAGTGTAATGGTTGCGCGTTCGTCTCGTAGAAGCAGAATTGTAATATATTGTGGGTTCAAACCTTGTTGGTGCCTTTTGATCCTCCTTTCGGCTTGTGCTCGTGGTCTCCTGCTTTTAGATGCTGTTTTGACGCTCTGCCAGCTCAAACTCTAAATATTAATGTTGTCATCAGGTAATGCTTTCACCCGGGAATTCCATTGTCTAATGAGCATCCACTGCTACGTGGCGCACATTCAACCATTTGAAGTCTGAACCCTGGCACCAGCAAGGCATAAATATGAGCTTGCCTACTAAGTTTGCTTTATTAAAGCCTCTTTCCTGAGTGATGAAAGACCCTGCTCCCCTATTAGACTTTAAGTAGTGCATACTTGGAGTGGCAGCTATAAATAGTATAAGACATAATCATGATATCAAATTTCTGACATTATTACTGCATATACAAAGCAGTAGGCCACCTATAGCACATGGGGAGCCCCTTGAAATAGCCTTTCGCCTCTCAATTTGCGGTCGGACGCGGTTGTGGCACCTTCGATGCACGTGCCGAATGCGTGGAAAGGGGCACGTGACTTGCGTCCCGTAACTTATTGGGAGGATTGCATTCAGTAGCACGCTCACTCGATATTCCTGAGCATAAAAGGGTTAAGCTCGCTCAAAAACACCGTAGACTACTTTGGAAAAACTGAGAGATATTATGCCAGACAATATATAGTATATAGAACACTCTACATTACACAACATTCCTACGAAGGCAGCCAGTGAGGCTTGGTCACTTTTGGCGCCACAAATTGCTTATGTAAGAGTACGCTCTCACGAGCGGACTTGCCCATCCCCACTCGCTCCTCCTTTGCTAGGGCGCACGTGCAGTGTTATGTAATACAAATCTATTTTTAATTTATTACCGGATACAGAACGAACAAGAGGAGGAGAAAGGTAGCTTTACTGCGCCCCCGTGCAAATACGTACAAATATACCATATCGAGAAGAATGTCACGTGATGCCGGCAAACGCGGGCTTCCCGCCGAGCGCGTGGCCGGCCAGTGAGAGTATCTTCAAGTCTGGACTAAGAGGGTCATATAGATGGGGCAAAATAAGTTTTCATTGAAATTCTATATAGCTGTGATACATGTGGCTGACAAGGTATATATAAAATCCAACAGTAAGGAAAGTTAATAAACCCTAACCCTAAAGCACAAATAAAAAAATGTGGCACAACTAGGAATTGAGCTCCAGACGTCCAGCACTCAATACATGTCACATAGCCACTATACTAACGAAGCAATGCAAACCTTACACATCAAAATACTATGATGGCAATGTAATCGGCGTTTACTTAATACGGCTGGATCCAGTTATTTTTAGTGACGCGACCGGAGGGGTCGAAGGTCACATGATATTCTTCTCGAAAAGGTAATATTTGGTTGTGTTTACCACTGGGTACATCACCCATATTGAGCATGCACAAAACTTTGAAAATAACCGGTCAAAGGTCAAACTTTTTTCATGATTGTTCATTGCACAGTCAGTGAAATGAATTAGAATAATACTACTTTTGACTGCGCAAAAATCTGATTGTGACACAGGATATGATCTTTGTTCAGCACTGTTCATTGAACTTTCATTTGTTTTGCAAGGCAACACTATGAACAAAATTTGATCTTTGTCTGGTTCCTTTCACACTTTCTCAGTGGCTCAATATGGGTATTGTACCCAGTGTACGCGGGGGCGCAATAGCAAAGACGGGAGGAGAACGCTATAGGACGGCTGGCACAAATGTCGCCGCCCGAGGCTGACTAAGCGGACGGTGGCTGACGGGGTTGTCAGTGACTACGTGAATACTACGTTAATACCGTGGGAATGACCAACTGACTGTTGTGACGGTAATTTGGTCAGTAGTCACAGTACTCGGGAAGCTCCGGCATCTTACCCCTCCTTTGCGGGATGGGATGAATTAATTATCATATAGGTGCTTGCACAAATGCAGCCAGAGAGAGGTGGTTTGGCTAGCCAGCTGAACACTTATTGCCATCCTGCACAGTCCGGGAGACATCCCATCTCCCGGACTGCACAGGATGCATGTCCCAATGGATATAATTTAAAGTAATTATTTCGAATCTTTGACGTATACAAGAGATATTTAGCTCCTCCTTGATTTGGTGTGCAAAGTTCACAGCCTGTAGCTGCTGTGGAGTGCAGTTCACAGCATGTAGCTGCTGCAGTGAATAGAGCATATTCGCTGTGGTAATTACCACAGCGTGGGGCCAATGGGGTCGCTCAAATCCATCAAAATTCCCTTACTTGGGAGCTCCACCCATAGTAATTACCACACCGAATATGCTCTAATTGAGATGGAATTTAGTACTGATTGTTTACTTCGATATGTAAGTGGGATGCAAAGTATAGTTCTATGCATGGACTGGAGTCTAGCTGCAAGGGATGCGAGATAAGGCTGTAAGGCCACACTTGTGTGGCAGGACCCGCTACCTTGGCCATGAACTCATTTATTCATATGCTGGGTGAGCTTTCAATTTATAGAATTCAAGGTCTCTGTACTTCATTGCGGTAAAAGCCTGAGCGAGAAATATGATTCAGGACATTGTAAGTCCGGCCTCGCCATACCTCCGAGATCTACCTGATCCAACCTCCGGTTGCCAAGCAGACCCTTGATGTGCAACAATACATTATTTTGACTCATGCTCCATTTTGTCGAGTACATACCGTGACAGTATATCTTGCGGTGGGCACAGAGTGTATGCGAAGGCAAGTCTAATCATGGGAATTGCATATGTCATTTGTTTAGGGTAGGTCAGATCTTTGACAGATCTTGCAAAAATGGCGGGCAAGTTGATAGTACACGCAGCATGAGCAAGCTTGCGAGCGGATGCTGCGTGGGAGTGCTTGCCACGAGAAAGCTGAGTAAGCAGACACGTGGGCGTCTAGATGCCCACTGTGCATTGGACGACACGTACGTGTTGTCGTCCCTTTGCATTCCCCTCTAGGCGAATTTTTCATTAGGCTGTCGCGGCAATCGGGATTGCATAGTATCAATATGTCTTCTGGAATCCCTGCTGGCACCAACGGGCATAATATTGTCAACAATAATCCGCCCGTCATATCTCCTGCCCAAATGGCAGAAAATCTCAGAAAGGGCCTTAAGCCAGATGGATCGAAATACCCCCGTAGTATGAGGAAGACAATGAAGGCTACGACTGCGGAGGAAATTAGACTCGGAGAGCTTCGGCGCGGTCAGGGCAAACAAGAAGTATCCGAGGACGAAGCTGATCTTATCAAGCTCTCTGAATCTGAATCAAGTCATTCTTCCACCCCTGATAATCAGCCTGAATATCTACTGTCGAGAATGCTAAAGGCCCCCTCTCCAAGGAGTCGGAAGAAAGCTGAGAGCAAGATAATGAAGAAGATCTTCGGGAAGAAACGGTGCTCACGGTCATTATTGTCCTCCAGTTCCAGCAGCTCGGAAAGCGATGTGCCGATGAATAAGAGGAGAAAGCCGATTGTAGAAGAGGACATCAACATCGAAATGAATGAGATCACTGGCTGGCACCCGCGTCTGAAGAAACTAGCAAATCTTGGTGAATATATTCCCCTTTCAATGTATCTTAACACGACTCATCAGGAAATGCTACGTCAGAACAATAATGTACCACTGAGAACGGGCCTCGGGGAGAAATCTCGGAAGAAGCAGCTTCTCGATGTAGCCAAGTACCAGGACGAAGGTGCGCTCACATCCGAAGAATGGCGGGAGGCGATGGAAAATCAAGTCGCGTTCTATCTCGATGCGGGCCAGGTGGAGCAAGCAGAGCGCTGGGACAAGCATCGGACCTGGTTCACTGGTCAACCCACATTCATCACCGATTTCAGAATTCTATTGAAGATGGACATCGACTTGCGTCAACTCTATGTGTGGCAACCCTTCGTTTTCAATGCTAAGCGCTACCGGACAAAATATGACCAGATGAAGCTAGATGACTCCAACCAGCAAGTAAAGGATGCTTTGAAGGGGATGCAGGAGGAACGGGACCGACTCCACTGGTACGAACCATCTTGTCGTCAGCCACCCAACCAGGTCACTTCAGCATCAGACACTTCATCTCCAAAAACCGCCAGGATTCGTCCCAGCTATCGTTCATTTCGTGACGAGAGACCCAAAAAGGCTTTCGTCTGTCTGGCCTGCTCGTGATCTGGCCATAGAGCCAGTGACTGCACGAACGGATATTACCCCGGAGGTGGACCAGTATATTGTCGCTGGAACACGAACTCGAGGCGGCTGGTCTCAATCAAATCCGGTGACAGCGTCTGTACCGCATGGAACACTTCCGGAGCGAGAGCAGGGTTCACTACTTGCACCAACCACGGATCGGAAATCCGCCATATCTGTGCCTTCTGCGGCTGTCCAAACCATATCGCCCTCAGTCGAGACTGCGCCGCATCCGTTGATAAGCCCCAGCGATCTTCTGACCCCCAAAATTGCGAATTTGACACACCATACATCCCCTCCAAAGTTTATTCGACACCACCTGTCGAACCTCTTACGCGACAAGTAACCGACGAAGGGTTCTGGATTTAATTCCGGACCTTCTAACGTCCTCAAGGCAGGCGCAGATCACCAAAATGATTTAGCTCCGCAGCCAGACGCTCTGAAGTCACCCGGAAGAATACCTTTGTGACTAATTATCTCCGGGAACGGCGGAGGCCCGCGTCGCAGTGAGTCATTGGTATTACCACTCCCCAGTCATCACTCCCCTTCGTTTCCGTCAAAGCGACTGAGTCAGCGGACATAAATCGACGGCCGGACGGAACGTATCAGTCAGCAAGCGGCCGGAGCTAATCCGCACGTGATCAGCCTGCAGTACCGTGTGATGAGGCACTTCAAGCGAGCATTGACGCGTCGAGGCTACCTCTAGGACCTAGGACGAGCACGTGGAAACACGGCAGGATCATATGGGACATGGTATAGCAGTGGGCAAAGGCTGAGTAATTGTGTGGGATGCGGAGCATATTTGTTATTTAACTCCGGGCGGACGCAAAACCATTCCAATAGCATAAAAATGTATGGAGCGTAGTGGAAAATCCAAGTTTTGTACTTCACCCTCTCAGCGTACCAGAATTATCGTCTCAGCGACCCTCGGAGTCCCTTCGCGTCGGACTTAGCATCTACAATCAATCCTAGCTTTGCCAATAGGCCTGACTCGTCGAAACTAGATAACTCCGCCATCGCATATCGATCCAAGTAAGCTCCGGATTTAAAGTATAAAATTCACCAAGCATCTGTAGGCACGAGACTATTGTTCAGGTTCAGTGGAACTCCCCACCCGGGCTACTGGCGAACTTCGGAGATAAATACTCCGGAGAATCACTATACTGTTTGTTTCAGGCCTCAAGATTTTGTTTGTTTTAGGTTTCCCTACGGGCTACCCTACGGCGTCTAACTTCTCCCCCTCCCTTCGAACTTAAATATTACCCTTCAATCGCCTTAGACCGCCTACACCCATACTGCTAGGTGTTTTAGGTTTTATTTCTTTTTGGTCTTTGGTGTTGTCGTGTGTTAGTGCCTATCACCGTTTGCCTCTGATCAGAACTCGCTTTACCACCACCAGACGCCTTATGACGCGGCCGCTTTTCACCGGCTTTTGACAGAGTGCGGCTTACTTGAATGATACCCAGATCTTGCCACGAAACTAGTCAATGGCTTTCCTCTTGGTGACTTCTCTCCACCGCGAGAGACAATTATTCATGAAAATTCAAAAAACTGCACTCAGTATGCTCAACACGTCAGGAACTACATTGACAAGGAAGTACAAGCAGGGCGGATGTCACAGGCGATGACGAGAGAGGAATGCGAACGGATGTGCGGAGGTCCCTTTGTGGTGTCGCCGCTGGTTTGCACAGTGCGTCCGGGTGCCGACGGTGAAGAGGATAAGGTCCGAGTGTGTAGGAATCTTTCAGCAGCAACAGTACAACAGCCCTCAGTCAACAGTTACATCGACCCGAAGGACTTCATCACGCGCTTCTCTACGGCAGCAGATTGCGCTGAAGTGGTGAGTCTATCTTTTCAATTTACCTATTACAATATCTCGCCATCTTCGAACGCACTTTCGTGCTTTTTTATCCACCTTCAATTTCACAACCGTGCACCATGACTTAGACCTATCGGGTCTGTGATCTTCGGATCAGAGGGCGGCACCGTGTTTGGACTGAGATGTCAAATAACAACGGGTCACGGCTGTCACTCTTTCGGGTTTGACGAGCTCTGTGATGACGACGTGTACGGTTGTTGTCCCTGGAGGGGACGGGGTGGCAAACCCTCTGTGTACGGCCTCAGTCAGAGGTGGGGTCTGAGACCCTCCGTGTTGTCCAGCTCGTGGATGGGGCAGAGTGCCCTCTGTTGTTCTGCATAAGACAGATATGGACATACCCTGACCGGGTGGATACAGTGTGCCAATGCCCCGCTGGGAGCAGAGGCAGCAACGTTCGATATTGCTAGCGCGTACTGCACCATACCAGTCAAGCCATCACACAAGATATTCATTATTGTTTGATTCGGAGACAACCACCATATAGACCACTGTGTTCCTTTTGGTCTCTCGTCAGCACACGGTCTATTAGGAGAGACCGTGGATGTGACAATGGATATCCTTGAAGTTAAGAGGATTGGGCCTACATTGAAGTGGGTCGATGATATTACGATATTTCGTTTTCCCATTGCCAGTGGTCAGCAACCAGATGGAAGAATGCTACCCTACAGCTTCGCATACAATAGGCAGACAATATTCAATGTTACGGCTCCTCTTCAGTTTCCTTGGAACGAAGAGAAGGGACAGGATTTCGCACCGACATTTGATTATGTTGGATTCAGCTGGGAACTACAGGCGAAGACGGCTCGCATGATACCCGCAAAACTCGACAAAGTACGAGGACAGGTCAAGACGGCTAGGATTACTTGGAGTCAAGGCTGTGTCCACTTACGAGAAGTGCAGAAGATGATCGGGACACTATCACACGTAACATTCATATATTGCGAAGGACGTGCTCACCTGCCGTCATTGAATGCCTTCGCCTCCGAGTTCACAGATAACCCTTATGCTCCTCGATGCCCATCTCATCGCATGTTGACGGACCTAACGTGGTGGCAGCAGCGTCTAGTACAGGACGACGCGGTCCGATCCTTGAAGCCCCGGGGGCCGGTGACTTACTTAGGCATATGGGTGGATGCCTCGACAGATTGGGGCATTGGAGTAATATGGGGTACGCGACACTGGGACGCCTGGTGCTTGAAGCAAAACTGGAATGTACCGCAGGGAAGCGGTCACGATATTGGCTGGCTCGAAGGTCTCACAGTTGAGTTCCTAGTCCGACTTCTGGAACTTAAAGGCTACGAAGATGTCAACGTGCTGGTGCGCTCTGACAATCAAGGGATCATAGGTGCGTTCGACAAGGGTCGTAGTCGCAATGTCGCAGTAAACGTATCAATTCAGCGGACCGTCATGATCATGACGGTGATAAGCCTCAGGATCGTCTGACTCCCAAAAATGCGGACTCAGCGCATCGTACAAGCCCTCCGGAGCTTATTCGACACAGCACTCACATGCCTCTAGGCTTCTATGGGCTCTAAAGACTTGCTCCGTTTTAGCTCCGGACTTCCTAACATCCTTGAGGTGTACACGGACCCATTCCACGATTTATCTCCGCGAACAGGAGCTCCGGAGCGACTTAACCAATGCAACGTCTAGATGAATTAGCTCCGGGGCCCGTGGGAACTTCTATCGAGGGGCGTCGTCCTCATGCCCACCCTCCAGCACTCACTCCCCCTCATTTCCGTCAAGATACCGAAGGTGCGGACGTATACGAGTCACCATGAGGTCAGCATCAGTCAGCAAGCGGCCGGAGGTAATTAGCACGTGACCGGCGCGTCGCTCGGAGTGATGGGACCGCTTGGATCAGGTGGCGGAGCATCGAGGCGACCTCTAGGGGCTGGAAAGAGCAAGTGGGAG